GTGGGTCAGGAGAGGTCTGCCACACCATGTGGTCACCTCCGGGGCAAGCGGGAATCAAACTCATGCAGAAGTGGTTTCAGCTTCTTAGTGCAGTGCTTTAACCCGCTGCACCACCAGGGAGGGCCTCATTTTATTTTTTAAACTGAATGTCTTTTAATTTCTCTTCAATTCAGAGTTTATTTTCATGATAAAGGTGAGAAGTCACTTTTATAACCCAAAAAATACAGTGATACTTTCCTAAACAATGCAGAAAGATGAGACAGAGGTGCACTTACAGAGCTGCATGTCAGTCATGCCAGAACCCTTGCAGGGATTCCCAGGCAGCCTCACTCGTGTGTGAGGACGTGGCAGCTCTTGTCTGGGAGACCTGCCTGCCCAGCGGGGTCAGCCTTCCTGGAGGGGCGACTCCTGCTCTCAACGTGCCTGTCTGATTGTCTTTCTGGAGCAGACATTTATCTTCCTCATCCACCAGCCAGTGGAGGAGGACCACGGCCATGAAGATGATTAATTCAAGTCACTGTGGGGAATTTCATGGTAACCCTCTTCCATGGGCTTAGTTAGATGAGTTTCCATAACTTCTCTTTTCACAGCTTTCTGAAGCAGAGTTTTGAAAAATAAAACCACAGACTCAGCTGTTCCCCAGAAGAGATCTGTTTTCAAAGATAATCTCCATGGAGATTGACTGTGCGATCCAGTACTTGTCCATTCGATGTAAACCGTGTTGTTTCTGTCCCCATCTCCAGAGAGGCTAACATTGTCTTATCTTGCACTGAAATTTGGGCGTATATTTAATTCTGCATAGGACTTTAAGAAGCAAACATATTGAAATTGCTTGTTCTGTGTACTCATAGTTAATGATTTATTAGTTGAGGTTTAAGACCAGTTATGTGTGCATTTAAATGTGTTTATGTGGTATGTATTTTTAAAATCTTTAGTATTGTGAGGCATAGTGTAGTTAATCTCATTATCTGTTTCTTGCTTTGTCTTTTTACCCATAGTTCCTGTGTAATTTTTCTAGCCTCTTTCTCCTTAATTGGACTATTTTTAGGGTGGAATTAATAATTTGTATTAGTAATGACTCATTTCACATTTTGACTAGGAACTGGGATATAGCTATGTGGAACTGAATGCAAGTGACACTCGGAGCAAAAACAGTTTGAAGGAAATCGTTGCTGAATCACTGAATAATACCAGCATTAAAGGCTTTTATTCAAGTATGTGGCTTTTTGAACTATTTTTTTGGTTATGTAAGACTGACAAGTTCATTTTAATATTCACTAACTGATTTTGAACACTGCTGTGTGCCAGGCAGCCTGCTAAATCCTGGAGCTAATGAGAAAGAAAAGCCCCTGCTGTGACTCTCAGAGGTCTTTTTTGAAAACTCAGAAATTTCTGAGAATGTGATAAAAATGCCCAAGTGAAGGATTAAACAGTGCAAATTTACACCCTATCACGGTCACCTGAATTCTTGGTACTTTCAAAAGTTAAAAAAAATCACTGTTTAAAAGACGTTGCTCCAGAAATGTCACTTGGTTGGTGGGGTGTAAGTTGATAGAAGCTTAGAGAGCAATCAGGCAGTTTTTCTTAAAGTTAAGCAATACTTTCCTTCTAACTTGAAAAACCCCAATTCCTTGAATTTAGCAATTGTCATATATATATGCGAAGGACAAACACATAAGGATATTCTTTTAGTATGGTTTATAATGGCAAAAGATTAGAAGCATTTCATTTTTTTTTTCCAGTAGCCGTGATTAAATTACATATGTGAAAAGAAGTTTTAACCTTAAAAATGAGTTCTATCTCTACAGATAAAGAGATCACTAAAATATAGTAAAGACAAAACGCAGCTGTATGTTTTTAGACATGTTTTTAGTCTGGTAGAAAATCTCTGCAGGGACATGCAGGAGAGCATTCACACTGCGTCTCTGGGGGAGGTACTGGGTGCCGGGACGAGGAGGGGAGAATTTCTCTTCATTGCATGTTCTTGTGCCTGTTGACTTTTGTACCATGGCTTTATATTATTGGTTTAAAATGGATTATATATTTTTTTCATAAAGCAGTTATGCCTGAACAATTGTTATTTTGTTTTTGCCCCATCTGCTCTTCTCAACGTGGGTTAGGTGGAGCAGCCCATTCAATGAGCAAGAAACATGCACTCATCATGGATGAAGTAGATGGCATGGCAGGCAGTGAGGACAGGGGAGGAATTCAGGTAACGACAGCACTATATTGTTGGGGTTACTGTTGGTCCTTAGTTTAAAAAAATTTTAAGGATTATTAATGCCATGTTATTTATAGCAGTTGAAGCACGTTGATAAGGAGTTATTTTTGAAACCTAAAATACATTGTATAGTAGTACTTTATTATTTTTTTTAAATAATTGCTTTTGTGTTGTAAATTTGCCTCTTAGGAATTAATTGGGCTGATAAAACACACAAAAATTCCCATTATATGTATGTGCAATGATAGAAATCATCCCAAGATTCGTTCTTTGGTTCATTATTGTTTCGATCTTCGTTTTCAAAGACCTCGGGTTGAACAGATTAAGGTATGATGATTGCAGTTATATTCTCCACACTACTATAATTATAAAAGGGTCAGTTTTTAAAGGTGCTTGATAGCTACATTAAAATACTTGATAATGTTAACTTTTTAAATCCCTTTTGTCAATTTCAGGGTGCTATGCTGTCTATTGCATTTAAAGAGGGTTTAAAGATTCCTCCTCCAGCTATGAATGAAATAATATTGGGGGCCAATCAAGATATCAGACAGGTAAATTAAATATGTATTATGTGACAGTATGTGAATTTTTATAAAGTCAGTGCCTCCAACCTTTGGAGCAGCAGGGTCTTCCCATTTTAACAGTGTCTCACTTATGATTCTTTTAGGTTTTACACAATATGAGTATGTGGTGTGCACGAAGTAAGGCACTAACCTATGACCAAGCCAAGGCTGATGCTCATAGAGCCAAAAAGGATATCAAATTGGTAAAATACATCCCCACCTTTAAATTGCTTCCTCAAACTAAAGCATTTGTATGTATTAACTCACTTAATGAAACATCATTGATAGTATTTTCAGCCAGTGTGTATAGTTTACATTTAGGATTCTAACAGTTGTGACATGTACCTTATACTATCATACAAAACGATTTGACTACCCTAAAAATCTGTACCCTAGCTATTCATCTCTCCCTTCCTCCTGGCAACCTCTAATCTTTTTGCTATCTCCTTGGTTTTACCTTTTTCAGAATGTTGTCTACTTGGAATTATACAGTATGTAGCCTTTTCAAATTGGCTTCAGTAACTTAGTAATATGCATTCACATTATCTGCAATAATGCAGTGGCTGTTTTGTTAAATTTACATGGCTTGATAGGTCATTTTTAAGTGAATAATATTATTGTTTGTTAATACCATTTTATCCACTCATCCACTGAAAGGGATCTTGGTTGCTCTCTTTGGCAGCAGTGAATAAAGTTGCCATAAACATTGCTCTGCAGGTATTTTCAGTGGGTATAAATTTTAATTTCATTGGGGGCTGATTACTGGGTCATCCTCCTTTGTAAGATCTAGTCAAAATGTGGCAAGAGTATGTTTACTTATTTATTTTAATAAAAGAATGTTTAACTTTGTCAGAAACCATCAAACTGTCTTCCAAAGTGACCACCATCTTACTTTGTGTTTCCCCTCACCCGAATGAGTTACTGTTGTTTCACATCTGTGCCAGCATTTGGTGATTATTGGCCATTCTACTAGGTGTGTCCCTGTTTCTTTTTAGGGCCCATTTGATGTTGCCCGGAAAGTATTTGCATCCGGAGAGGAGACTGCTCATATGTCACTTGTGGACAAACTGGATCTCTTTTTTCATGATTATTCAATAGCACCCCTTTTTGTCCAGGAGAACTATGTACATGTGAAGCCTGTAGCTGCAGGGTAAGTGCTCTGAGCTATTAAGGGGTAGAATTAGTAAATTGCCAGGACTTCAAAGGCCTCTGAGAGGAAGGCATGTGGGGTGTTGATGGTGGTGTCATCTAGATTCTTCTTTCCTGCAGGGGTGACATGAAAAAACATTTGATGCTTTTAAGCAGGGCAGCAGATAGCATATGTGATGGTGATCTGGTGGACCGTCAGATCCGGAGTAAGCAGAACTGGAGTCTGCTGCCCACACAGGTAAGCTAGGGGCTCTCCTTCCAGTGCAGACCCTACTTTCATTACAGAGAAGAAAATAGCTTCTAGTTCCTGTAATTATTTGAAATACCAGTTTATGTATGGGTTATATGGTAAAACTGGAGCCTGTTATAAATAGATTAAAAATAGTCAAACCTTATTCATGTTTCAAAATGTTTTTATGTAAATTTGTTACATGGAAAGAGGAATGTTAGATTTTGTTCATAACTAAGATTGAGTCAGATTTCATTTTTGTTCAGTTTTGCTTTAAGAATCCTTTTTTTTTTTTTTTGTTATTCTTGGCCCTTCCAGGTGGTTACTCTTCAGTGAAGACATGCAGCTAGGGCCTGTCAGCAGCTTTTTCTGATGCATGAATTCTGAATTTCTTCTTCCTTGCTAAAGAGACAGCTTAAATTGGCCACTTTATTTAAGTTGATCTCTTTTACTCAAAATGACATAAATATTCATATTTAAGAGTGTTATTTGTTCTTAGAGTTTGCATATTTATACAGTATTATTATATAATAAGGAATAAACTTTCAGAAGGCCTACTCTTATTTCTGCCCGTTACGTTCATTTTATGAAAACTAAAAGACTCATTCTGGATAAAAAGAATCCTTTCTTTTATGTTTTAAAGTGTTCATTTTTCTTTACCTAGTAATTGCACCTTTGGGCATTTATTCAAAAGGATTTTTTTTAAAGTAAAATAGGAAGAGTAATAATTTATCAAAATTAAAAGTTATAAAAATAATTTACAAAAATATTTTATAAAACATTAATTCATTAGCAAATAGGCAGAATCGCCATGTCCAGCAATAGGAGAATTAATTTTTGCAAATACTCTGTGGGACATTATGTAGCCTTTAAAATGATGTGGTAATTTTCACAGTGCCAAATTATTCACTGATAATTAGACTTTCCATACTTTGAGTCACCTGTGCTGTCGTAGCTGACTGCTGTCAGTCAGTCATATCACTGTTAAAGTTTCTTCTGCGCCATTGCTTGCTTGAAGTAACTGGTATGGTGTTGACTGAGTTGGCAAGATGCTTGCTCTAAGGACCATAATAAGTTTTTAGATCCATCTAATTTTTTCTAAAATTAGCTGTTTTTTTTTCTAGGAGAAGTTTCCCATACCAACAGATCAAAGACAGAGGGAAGGGCCTTACTTAGTAAGCCCTAGGGTTTAGATCACTGGGGCGAGGTTGCTTCATTTTCCAGACTCTGCTCGGGAACCAGAAGCTGCTAAGGAAGCAGCTGATAGCACATTTAAAAACTGGACTGAAATTGCCTTTTTCCAGGCTATTTATGCCAGTGTTCTTCCTGGAGAGTTAATGAGAGGGTACATGACCCAGTTTCCCAGCTTCCCGAACTGGTTGGGGAGACATTCCTCTACAGGCAAGCACGATCGGATTGTTCAGGATCTAGCTTTGCATATGAGTCTCAGGTAAGCACTGTCACTTCATGGCTGGCATTTTATTGTAATGTATTTAGCCTTTATCCAATACGAATAGCATGACTGAAAGATTGTGTCTCAGTTTGGTTTTATTGCCAACTGGAGAAATGATGCTAGGTAAAGTTCCTCATGTTTGTGAATTTTAATATCCATCATCAGTGTAACCTTGTTTTGTTGTTACTAGTGTTTTTTTTTTAATGTTTTTTTTCTTTTATTTATTACAACGTTTACTTTTACATCATTTTGCACATTTTTTTTTTTCCTTCTCGATTGTAATCCCCGCGGGTTTCCCATCACCAAATCACCCTGTTACTGGTGTTTTAATATGGGCCATGAGAAAGGATTGGCTGATGGAAGCTACACTGTTGGCTTTGAACATGGTGAAGGGGTCAGGTGAAAGGCCGCTTTTCCTTGTTATTCTTCTCAAGTCACGCTGAGGAGCTCTCAGTTCTTTTTCTGGCCACTGCTTTTTAAAGGTTGCTAGTCCTTCAGGTCTAGGGATGTCTCATTGATGCTCCCACTGTACTCAAGTAGATTTTGAGTACTGGTCTTCTGTGTTCTTTATGGCAGTCCTCTTGTATGACTGTCTCCTTCTCTTATTAGTCTGAATATTTTTGGGGTAGGGACTATGCTTACTCATCTGGCACATAAATCAGTCAGTGAATGTTCTTTCTATCATCCTTGAGACCTCTGCTGTGAGATTTACCATTGTAAAAGTAAACTGAGCTCTCCCTACTTAATTTTTAATCTGATGAAATCACTGAAATTTTATAGGCCTCAGATTATCTTTTAAAAATCGAAGTGTGATTTTATCATTAGTTTTTAACCTTTTTTGGTTCATAGTTGCCTTTTTGAACCTGAAAGCTCTTTAGTCTTAATTTCCTCCCAGCGCACTAATGCACACATAATATGTTAGAGGGATTACAGATTTCTTAAGGTTAAGAACCATTGAGGTACGTTAGACTTCTAAAGATTTAATGTTTTGTGATTCTACTAGAAGGTGACAATTATATAACAAAATGAAAGTGAATCCTGGCAGAGGTTTCATGATTTTCTTGGCATTGTGCCTTATGTGGGCTCATTACTAGTGTGCTTGACTATGGCAGACTGAATCTGGAGGAAATGGAAGAAGCTAAAAGAGTGTTTTAAATTTTTTTTGCCTAGATAATAAAACAGCTGTGGGGTAACATGCTAGATTTTGCATCGGGATAAAAATTGTGTGATTTTCTGTGATTCAGATATTGTTTAAGGCAGGAGCATGGTCTGTAGGTAATTTTTTTTTTTCTGTAGGTAATTTTTAAAGGGACTTTTTATTTCTGATTTTCATCTGGGTTCTGAAACCAAAGGTTTTGAGGTCTCGTTTGAAGTGCACACACATATATAGTTGTTTGGTGTGAAGATACAGGGAAACAAGACAGCATTGATTTAGGATGGCGGTATTGGAAATAGTTTTGTTCAGCTTGTCCTTGACTTCAAAGCAATCACATTTAAGGGAGAAAAAACTGATTCCATGGTAACAGTCTAGATCTCTGTCGCTCAGATACTATTTCCCTGTTCCCCCCTTGGTCATTCTGGCCAACCTCTTGATTCCGTATCAATATTCTCTGCACTTTTCTTAGACTTAGAACTGAAGATTTCATAGTAATCATAGGAATTGTGAGGAAAACATTCATGTGTAACTTTTAAATTCTCCTCAGGGACCATAAATGTTATGGACTCCAAAGTGACAGTCTAGTGGGAAATCTCTACTTTTAGTAGTTTGGAACTTGGAATGAATAATCTTTGACTCTAAGAAATATGAACATACAGAAATACTATTGTTACTAGGTCTTAAGAGTAGGGTGGAAATAGCACCTCCATTTGTAGTTTTCATTCATTGATCTGGGTGAGTAGAAAATGACAGTTGAACACGGTGGTGTGACTCCATTACCCCAATGGTAGCACTAGGGTTTTCCATTGAGCCATTAAAGGTGGTTGAACGCTATTGGTCAGCTCCATGTTGTTATGCATACAATCCCTTGAATTGGTGGTAATTTGCCTTTGACTGCAGGTATGTCTCTCTTGTTTTGGTTTAAGAACTTACTCCAGCAAAAGGACTGTAAACCTGGACTATCTGTCTCATATAAGGGATGCACTGGTACAGCCTTTGGCTTCACAAGGGGTTGAAGGAGTACAGGATGTTGTTGCTCTTATGGACACATACTGTTTGATGAAAGAAGACTTTGAGAATATCATGGAAATGAGCAGCTGGGGAGGCAAACCCAGTCCCTTTTCCAAGCTGGATCCCAAGGTAAGTTGTGTAACTCATCACTTTGTGATGGCTAGATGGTACTAGGAGTACTTCGACGCTGTTTGAGATGCTGTAAGATTTCCCCCCACCCAGCTATGTAGCATGTTACTTCCCATGGCCTAAGTCTTCTGCAGTAGTACTAGTAGTACTAAGTAATAGGCACAAGTTAAAGATACTAATGTACTTAGTATCTTTGCGATGACAATAGACTTCCGGATTTGACTTTATGATTTGTATTTTTATCTTTGCTTTATGCTGAATAGAAAAGCAAGAAGTGAAATCTGAGGAGCAAATATAAATGTAAATAAATAACCCTATAAGGTGAGACATGAGCTTGGGAGGTAAAAGTGAGGTGCTGGTGGTAATGCATATGAAAAGGAGAGGATTTCTTGTCTCATCTCTGGATTCAATATTCCATCTGGAAAATATTGTGTAACATTGTATTCCTTCTCTATATAGTGAGCATGACAAACTCGTGACAGAACATGAATATATATCTTACCTCACTCTTGTGCCTACGACTTGATGCTCTTTTAGAAGACATTCTCTGTGGGTTGCCTTCTCTAGGGTTTTGACCTGACTTAATAGTTAAGGAGTAAAATCTCACATTAGACATCACTGATAGAATACAAGGATGAATTCTATAATTACGTTTAGAATTCTGCTTGAAATTAGTTAAGGCTTTTTAAGTTTAGTATTTTGAAGTAACCCCTATTATTTTAATGTATTTTGTGATAAAGGGAAACTTAATTTACGTTGTACTTATTAAAAGCCTTTTTTGATTCATTAATTCACTGTCTAAATTTGCCTGTCACTTTTATTAATTGAAGTAACATTGCATTAAAACCTCACTTTGTAGAACTGTGGAGAGCACTGTATAGGTAAAAATGATTTAAAACCTTTTTTTGACCTGCCTCAATTTTCCAAATCATGATTTTTTTGAGCCATGTGTTCTATTAAGATTGTCTTGGAAATACGAAACTTTTATATGAGAAGATGCATATACCTACCCTTGTATCTATATGCATAAATATTTGGCACATAATTTGAAGGGACTTTTGGGTGCTCTCAGAACCTTTAGGCTTACAGAAGGCTGTTTGGCAGTTAGACTGTTTTAAAGCACTCCCTTTATTTCTTTTCCTTTAGGTGAAAGCAGCCTTCACAAGAGCTTACAATAAGGAAGTTCACCTTACTCCATATTCACTTCAGGCAATAAAGTCTTCCAGACACAGCACAGGGCCATCTCTGGATTCTGAATATAGTGAAGAGTTAAATGAAGATGACTCACAATTGGATGAGAAAGACCAAAGTGCTGTGGAGAGTGATGCTATGATCAAGGTAGTTTTTGTTTTTTTAAATTTATTCATTCATACAGACTGGGTACAGGCCAGAGGAGCAGGGGCAGTGAGAGGATTCACCAGAGACAGGGGTGGGGAACAGAACAGGCAGATCGACGAAGTACACTGCTGAGGGGAGCAGTGGGCGGGTCAGGAGAGGTCTGCAGCGTCATGTGGTCACCTCCGGGGCAGGCGGGGATCTAACTCATGCTGAAGTGGCTTTAACTTCTTAGTGCAGTGTTTTAACCCGCTGCGCCACCAGGGAGAGCCGATCAAGGTAGTATTTTAAGCTCCAGACCCGAAAAGCTGGGATACTCCCTCAAAATAGTTTATCTTTTCTATTGTGTGTAACTTGCCTCCTGAGATTAATCAGGATCTTATTAGTAAGTAACAGAACAAGCTGAAAATAACTGTGATGTATTTTCTTCCTCACATTGGAGATGTAAATTTCACTTTTATAACTAGTTTTCTTACAATAATGGGAACCATGTAGCAAGAAAACAGACCAGTATATTGATAGATTTATGCTCCGTTAGAAAAAGTGCCATTTTTGTTTGGTCATTGGTAGTTTACCCACAGAAACATATTTTCAAAAGCATTTTCAACTGTACTGTATGCTTTTCTATAGCCATTGGACTGTTCAGAGCAAAATATCCTTACACTCATTTATAGTTGCAACCCAGTATTTACCATGGGCCAAGGCAGAGGATTCCAGTCTGAATCTTTCTATCATTTGAGAGGAGATGCTTTTGCTCATTGTTGCTGTTTGATGTATGCAGGGACGGGAACAGTGGGCTTCTCCAGTGTCTCCCGTCTTAGGTAGGAGTGAGGATGTTTAGTCTCTTTGACAAACTGTGTCTAGAGCTCTAACTCAGACTAAAAGGAAACTCATCATGAAAACATCACCTTATTTGTACATTGCCTCTGTCTTTTGTCTTTCCTAACATACCTGTGTTCTAAATCCAAGAAACTGCTTACATGGGCAGTATCCTTTAGTTTTAGATTCTCAATATCTTCTCAGGTTTTATTGCCTTTCAAAGGCTATAACTAGTACAGTTGTTATTGGAACGTAAGCCCATCAGGGGTACAACCCTGATGTTTACAACCACTCTTCTTTATTAACTTGCAGGAAAAGATTTACTATAGACATTTACTCAAAAACAACAGCAATTAACTATTTTGTATATCTCCCTCCCCACAGAAAAAGACCAAATCTTCCAAGCCTTCAAAATCAGAAAAAGATAAGGAATCCAGAAAAGGAAAAGGAAAAAGTTCAAAGAAATGAAACTTTTCGCTCTTGTCAGCCACTTTTTACTCACCTTACTGACCAGTCTGGTTGGTCTAGGATGCCTTTTTTTTTTCTCCAAAGGAACCATGTTTTAGCAAAATGGGACAGTCTAGGGATTCCATTGTAAGCAAACAGTGGTACAGCTAGCAGGTTATAAGCAGTAGCTAACATACACCTCTTATAGAGGTTGATAGGACTGTTTGGGTCCTCCATTGTGCCCTGTTGATAAAATGATTGTGCTTCAAAATGATTTTGTATAAACAGAACTAGAAACTGCATGTGGGCTTTGTGGTCAGGTTTTAGTTAACTTTTATAGGCCTAAGAATTTTTCCTAATGGCCTATTTTATATAGGACCAATGCCATTTTTTTTTTTAAGGTAGTTACTACTATGTGGTGAAATTTTGTAAATAAATTATAATACAAAACATTCACCACCCAGAATTGGGTATTCTTTGTATATTGTCAAATATCTTGCAAAATATAAATGAGGAATAAAAATGTTCCACATGATACATGTACAAATTCTTTTTAAGATAGCCACCTTGTACAGTAAAATATTATGTTGGTACTTTATATTCCTTACTAGTTTGCAAATGACTAGATTAAAAAAAGCTAATTATATTCCTTATTAACCATTTATATGAAACATCTTTGGCAGTTGAAGAGTCAGAACTTGAATTCTCAACTTGTTTATCTCTGAATGCTGACCATATCTGTTATGAATAAAATTTCATGGAGAGGCCTCTGTTGTTACTAGAGGTTGTGGGCGGCTGCAAGGTAATCCAGACTTTCTTATCTTCCAGAATCAACCCTTTTGTTCACCAATAGGTTTTAGGTTGGGTCAGATTCTGTCTGTGACTTGGGCCAAAGTGAACACTTGTTTTTATGTACTTTGTTAGCTATCTGGTCCTGTCCTAGGAGGGAGTTAATAAATCCTACTACAGCCCATAGCTGATGACTCACTCAATTTAGCTGTACTGTTTTTTAATCTTTCAGAGGTATGTACTATTTTTTGCAAGGTATGTCCTAAAAGGAATGTAAAATCAGGATACTACTCCCTGCCTTTAAGGAACTTATTTGGGAGGAGAGACATAAGTGTACTTGCCAATGTGAAGAATGTCTTTCATATAGATCAAGTTCATTGTGGGAATAAACTATTGCCTCAAATTTTTGCCTACACAGCCATGCTCATCTTTTTGTTAAAGTCCAGCTTGAAACTTCTGCTTCAGTGAAGATTTCCTTGATTGACCAGTGGGGTGAGCAGTTACCTTAATGTATATTCTTTCCATTGCTTTTGGATATGTACGTCATGTCTGCCTCTTTGCTGTACATATCCCAGGAAAGTGACCACAGTCTTGTGATAGCCAAAACAGTGAATAATGTCCTCCATTTGTTTGACTTTTTAAAAAAATTATAAATGTTTAAAACACAGTTGGCATGGGATAAAAGAAATAACTTTTAGGATGACAGTTTGGGTCTGGTTGATTCCTCTGAATCCCTAATGAGCAGGTGTGAGAGGGGTTAGGTATTAGTGGTTCCACAACAGTGTGGATGTTGGGATTAGGCTACCTAAAACAGCTTTATTCTTCACTTTGTTAAATTAGAAGTTTCCTAAACAAAATTAGAACTTTCCTAAACAAGTTCTGGCTAAGTTTCGCTCATGAATGCCAATAGCTTCCAAAATCTAATGTGCTTAGTTAACAGTGCCAGGCTACTGTTAAGGCTGGGAGGAGTTTAATGATGATGACTTTTGTGACTTACTAAAGCCTGTTCCTTAACCAGCCTTTCAGGAGGAAGAACAGATCATGAGGCCAGAGGCACATGTACGTATAAATCCTCTGGCACTTTGTCCACTCTAGGCTAATGTGTTCGCAATATTTAGGATGCTGCTGTCTGTACTGTAGGCGAGGTAGGCTACATGACTCATTTCTTTCTGCTGCTCATATTTGGTAACTTTGGATGGCAAGGAACCATATACTTATGTGAGATTTTTGGTGTTTAGGAATTATTCTACTTGGTTCAGAACTGGCACTGTTAACATCACTGCTGTCTACACTTTGTATGTCCAGGAGAACATATCTAGCCAACATTTTTATTTTAAAGGAGCTATTTTAAAATATAAAAGTTAATATAAAAGTTATAATGCTGAATATTTACAGTTATGTCATAGGTTACTATTAACAGTGCAAGAGGAAAATATACAAAGTACAATAAGCAAGTGAGGTTATATGTCACTGTTTTGCATTTTCCAGAAGTTGATAGTGGTGACCTGGAGGGGCCATGTTTATTTTTCTGTATCCAGGATGGACCATCTCTGAATTCACCAGGGTAGGAACTCAACCTTCTGTAAAAATGCTTTCTTCTCAGGAACATTATATCTAGAAAGGACAAAAAAACAATTGGCACTTACTGATGCTTGTGTAAAATGAGTCAGTGATTAGTTTACTTTTGAAAGTATCAATTTATCCCTAAAGCATATCAGCAGGTAGCTATAATATGGCTCAAGGCCCCCAACAAATGGGTAACTGTGTATAGAGAAAGTCTATAGAATTTGGAAAAAAACTTAAGTCTTAACCATTTTAGTTCTCCTGAATGCATATGGCTTTTCAGGCCAAAGCTGTAAGGCACAGGATAGCTAAAGTTGTCAGAGCTACTGGAAAGGTGACTGCTTCCTCTACATGTAAGTGTTAAGCAAATATCAGATTCTTCCTGTCTATTAGGAAAATACAGAATCTAGTTTCTAGAACAGTGGAAGCAAGGGAAACGTTCACTCTTAATTTTAATGAACTGGATTAAAAACACATGTGATTTGATAAAATGGCCAAATATCTTGCCACTTTAACTTTTGAAAAAATACTTCAAAGGCAGATGGCTCAAATCTGATGGAAAGCTGTGTGTGCTCTACGAGGGGAGAGCACGCTGGCACGTACCTGCACGAGCGCTTCACTGCTCCACCTCCGTTCGCAGGTACTGGGTACAGTCTGAGATTTTTTTCAGTTGCGTAACGTTTAATCTCTCTGAACACATCGGGCATGTGCTTTCAGTGTTCAGCATGCTGTTTCAGAAGGCAAAGGTGGAGTAAGTAGGTAGTATCTCTCTGGGGGGTATTCCCATGTGAAAACAAATAATCCTGTCTTTAATTCTTAGTACTATTTATCAAGCACTTTTAAGGATTAGGGATATTCAGTCTCAAAGACTCATCAGAGATCTTTAAGCACCTGAAAGCCCTGCTTTTAGATCAATCTATGCGACTGAGTGAAACATACATACATCTTCAGTTCTGAGTACAGAGCAGGGAAGCTGCAGTGTGGACACACTGTCCAGTCGTCCTTCAACATGTGTCTACCCTGGGAACAGCAAGCAATGTAAAGTTAGCCTAACTATAATCCATTTATGAAATTGTTAGTATTTCACTCTCTATAAAAGAACAAATTTTGTGACATTACCTATTTACCCTTAAAATAATGTTAACTTAGTCACATCTGGCATTTTCAAATTTTCTAATAGGTCTTACATAAAAATCACTAATAGTAGTAGTAGATGTTCCAGCATGCTCGTGTCATACACCGTAAGGCTTCTTACGCGCTCGCTTTTTAGGTGTGAGCAGGTAAGCTGATTGCACAAGGCTATATAGTAAATGGCGGAGAAAGGATTTGAGTAGTTGGCCTCTTCTGGATAGTCACCTCATTACCGTGTGCCTTGAATATTGAGGGTTGAGACTGTTTCAAAAGTGAAGAAAATGTTGACAGACCTCAAGTTTTTCAGGTGGGTTCTAAATAAACTTACAGTTGCGATGCAATACGGGATGTTATTTTTACATCCAGGACAGAGGAGTTCACACTCTGGGAGGAGAAATGCACAGAATGGACATGGGGTTGTGGCTTCCTCTGTTTCTGATGTATCAGGTCTCCTGTGAGGAAGAATCACATGTCATTTCAGACAGCACATTATTTTCCTTGTAAATGAGGGTCCTAGGTATGGTGTTCTTAGTGAAAAGGTAACATCTTTTCAATTTCCCTATACTTCTCTCTGGGATGGGTGTGGTGTGGCGAGCAGGGACCATCTCCGCTCTAGGTGACAGAGGGTTCTGGTGTTGGCACCCGGACACCAGCCCTGGATTAAGTCATAGCTTGCTTTTTGCTGCAGGTCCTGCAAGCAATGATTGTGTTCAGCTACATATTTTCTGGTCACTGCCTACCTGACCATTGCTTCGATCTTCTTTTTGTATTTGGCATCTATTTTGTTGCGGTACTCGGGCCTCATCAACATGGCTGCGAAGCTGAAGGCAGAGTTCTTCAGGCCTGCTCTGTGGCACTCGATCACAGTTGACGTCAGGATGGGAACAATGTCTGCAAACACAGTAGGGACGGAGGGCTCAGTGCCTCTGGGCACGACGCGCTCCGCTCTGAACGTGGCCTTTCTGTTTAACGAGGAAAGGGCCGGCAGCGGACTCAGCCAGCTGCTCCTTCAGGTGTCCTCCCCTGTTACACTAGGTTTGCCTTTGAACATTTTCATTCCCACCAGCAGTCATGAAAATATCTGTCCATAGAACACTCCATTTAGAGAACAAGTTGGTGAGTAGTGGCCATCTCTCTCTTGTATGGCCCATAACTCTCTCTTGTATGGCAGGGTTTTTTTTGTTTTTTTTTTTTCTTCATTTTTAAATGGTTGAATTAAAAAATCAAGAGAATAGTATTTTGTGACATGAAAACCGTACAAGGCTCACTTCAGTGTTCTAAAGCCATGCTGGGATGGCACATGTCAGCACAGCTCACTGCTGGGGGCGAAATACGAGCTGTGACCCTGCGAGGTTTCCAGGAATGGGTGCCTGGACTCCAGGTTCCGACCATGCACTTTTTTCTTTGAAACCTTTCACACTATTGTTGAGTTATACAAGTTAAAGCTAGGGGGTATGCCACCCCCCCATTATACCACTTCATGGAGTGTGAGAGTTAAATGAATCAGTACGTGTAGAGGTGGCGGTTTTCATGCACAAGTGTGAATGGCTCTTCTCGGGGTGCTTACGTGACGGGAATTTGCTGATGTTGTTGGCCACCCGGATAAGCATGCGCGCGCCTTTCATGTGATCACCATTCTTCACGTGAATCTGAAATGACATGTTTTACTCTGTAGAGGTCGACTGACCTTAATTCAGCTTTTCTCCTCTCAAATGAACAACACCTCGATTGTGACTGAATGGGGTCATCATGAGCAACTTGCAGCCTTCTGTTCTCAAATTCCCCTCAGGATCTCTCTTATTCTCCTTCTAGCACAATGGCCTCACCCTTGGTCTGGGCCACCTTTTTACTTTGCCCTGGGCCACGTGACGTGAGTTCAAATCCATGGTCCACCTCTTACTGGACATTAGGGGGGGAGACCTGGAAATGATCAGGCAGAGGATGGGGTGTTAAATGAGGTGGTGGGGGCTGCAGGGCCTGTGCTGAGGTAGCCCACAGCGGCACCACGGTCTATTTTGTCTTCAGTGAATACGACTGATTATTTAGAAGGCAAATATCACAGTGTTCATAGTTGTATCTGGGTGATGGACTTAAAGGATGAATGACTATTTAAATTTTGCCAGTTACTGTCTTTTTATATTCTGATTATGCATTAAACTGGAATTATATAAAATCTACCTTAGAACAAATAAACCGGCAAGCTCTGCTAAAACAAAATGTTTTTAAGTAAATTTTCTGGGAGCAGATAAAACACATCCTTCAAAAATCAGAACATCATGAAGAGATGCACACAGAGACGTTTCCTGCCCCTCATCTCTGCTCCATGGGGCTTGCTGCCTCTGCTCCATGCCTTGCTCCCTTGAGGAAACCACTTCTAGTTGGGCGGGGGTGGGGTGGGTATATTTCTAATTATATTTTCTACTGTGCATTTTTTTTTGACACACAGGCAGCATATTGTATAGTTACTCTGTGTCTTGCTTTTTTCACTGAACAGTATAGGAACCTAGGAGGGGCCGGCAGCAGCCTCAGGGGCCTCACCTTAACTAGGATGTAGCTGTGTAGGATCATGAGGTTGGTGGCCATCTCAGAAGGGATTTTGATCTTCTGGGATTTCAGCTCTGCATACATCCCGAAGAGGACATCGTGTGCGTTCCGGTAGTTCCCTTGAAACAAAGGTGATAAAATATCACAAAGGATGAGCTCTGACACCTTCTATGGCCCCTCATTTTACAAGGGGATTTTGTTGCTCAGTTACTAATGCTATCTTAATAGCTTCTTAATAAAGTAACCTGAATGTTCTTCTTCCGTAACTGACATCCAGCTAGTCCCTCAGGGAGAAGATGGGGGCTGTCACCCGAGAAATCTTCCTCAGGGCTCCACCTGATTCAAAAGGCCAGTGGGTCATGGAGTTCTGAGTCTGCTTTGGAGTGTTCCGACTTGGCCCGCCCTCTGCGCCTGCCGTCAGTGCTGAGCAGACCGTCATCTGTGTGGTAGTGCACTAGGCCGTGTTCCTTCCAAGTGTTGTCTGACCCTTTGCCCCCAAGCCTTAGTGATCAAGTACAAACTCCTGAGCAGTTGACAGGTGACTTCAGCACCGGAGGATCGCCTTCTCCTGGCCCTCCTCTGGGTCAGGGTCGACGCTATGACCTCCCTCACTGCTCCAAAGCTATGCAATCTCCAACCCCCAGGACGAGGGGGTCCCTCTCCTGGTGCCCTTATTAACATTTCTCTTTCCACTCTAATACTTCCCTTCCAATAACCTCTGGATCTACACTCTCCCATCACATCATGAGTCTTCTGCGTGCTGAGCTCCCAGCACACACCTGACAGGTGTTAGATAACAAAAGCTGAATAAAGTAGCAACATTTAATTCTGTATTTATGAACATTAAAATAATCAGCTTGTGAAAGTAAGTAAGGGTCATCAGACAAAATCTCTGATTTGATAAATATGTACAGAGCGTAACTGGACATATAATAAAGAATGAGTCAACCATATCACTTGTCATTTTCTAACGTCTTTCACGTCATCTTGCTAAGGCCAAACACACGGGGTGCGGAGAAGGCACGAAGGGGTGCTGGGTGGAGAGGTCTGGGACGATGTCCACAGATTGAAACTCAGGCCCAAGAGGAGTAGGGGAAATGGAGCCCTGTGAGTGGGAGACCGTGTCCGTGGGGTCAGTCTGATGTGATGAATTCCCAGACTTGCTGAAACCTGGGGATGGCTGTCACCGAGTATTCTGGGTTCAAAACACACCTAGGTTAGGGATGGGCTACTCATTTCTGCGACGCCGGGGAGCCCCACGCTGCTGACTGGGAGACAGGACCGCCGTGTCCTACCTGCACACTGCTCTTCCCTGGCGATGACGATGGCCGTGCGCGCGGCGTCCTGGTGCTGCTTCAGGGCCATGTACAGGCGGAACAGGTACTTGGCGTCCTACACAGACGTTAGAGAAGCGTCACCTCTTCCTTAGCTAGGGGGAGACGCGCCTGAAGTTTTGTATTTCAGTTAGACTCACATTGCTTTCCAATAACTAAGGCTTAATACTGCTTTTAAAAAAATGAGTATTTACTTACCGAGTAGCTCTTCAGAGTTTACTTGCCAGGAAGTATTCTAGGTGTGTGAGACATGTTAGCACATTTAAACCCTCCTCCCTTCCCTGGGGAGAACCATGATTGTGGTGCTGATTGCATTGGTAAGAAACAGAACCCAGCAGGACCTTCCCAGAACCAGGATTTGAACCACAGTGGCCTGGCATCAGCATCTGTTCTGACCTTTACTTCAAGTCTCATGTGCTTGAAAACAAAATGTTATTTTTATGTGATGTAGCAACTTAACACACTTTCGCAAATTTTTACCTCTATACATTTCTCTGGCCTGTAAAATTCTCTTTGGCCTTCGACCTTTTCCATTCTTAGTCCTTTTAACCCTACACAGATTCACATCCTTGAGGCTGTGTTCCTGAGTACTGGAATACTGAGGTGGCCTGGGACAGCTGAAGGGCCTGTATTCTGTGGCAGGTTAACTAGGCTTCCCCGGGGATTTTCTCTCATTGTCTACAAAGGAGGCTGGGGACTGGGCACCAGGATCTCTAGTTCAACCCCAGCTGGGCGGGGCCGGCACTACCCTGGTCATCAGTGCCTTGAGTTTCTTCACGAGCAGATCTCTCCTCACAGCAAAAAGGAGTGAAAGGAGATGGATTTCTGCAGGAACCCAGAGTCACACATTTTGCAAACACACTCAATGACTTACCGCTTGCCCCTGTATCTACAGAGAGCTAACTGTATGCCAAATAAGTTTTTGAAATACGAACAAAAAAGTACACTCTGATTTTTAGGGGTGAGCTGCTAAACTCATAGCTAATACTATGAACATTAGTCCTAGCTCCTCGTATAAATAAAGCTTAACATTGGAGGAAAATCACGGATGGGGAGGGTGGTTATTCAGAGGGACGCAGCTATTTCACTCGTGGCCTCAGAGCAAAAAGCACATTTCAGCCTCTGTCCAGGTGACTGAGGCTCACATTCATGGAGAAAAGCGGAGTCTGACGTAAAAGCCATGGTAGGTAACAAAAAGAAAATCATAACTACGATTCTGAAAAGGCACCTTCGGCACACCGTCGCTCTCGCCCATGAGGTGGTCTATCAGCTGACTGGTCAGCAGCTCATCTTTCGCCTGGCCGACCTGTTGAGAGAGAGAATGCCAGTAAAGTCAGCATGAAGTACAGAAGAATGGGGGAAAGGACAAGCTACGAGAATGGAATTAAAACATGAAAAATACTAGAGGTGCCAAAGCATGGAATAAGCTCAGGGTCTCCATTTAGTTGTCACCACTGATGATAATCCAGCCATAGGAGTTAGTTTTTTAGTTGCTCTATCAAAGTACTGTTGTTTTTGCCTTTGTAACACAAATTTCTAGGAGGTTTCAGTAAAAACGTTCCTAAGCCAAGTGGCTGGGACACCTAGAGCGTAAGCTCTGGAGCCAGGGTATTGCCACCAAGTACCCCCTCCCCCGCAGGGGCACTGGCTCACGCTGTGTAATCTGAGGTGGAAAGGAAGGTGGGGCCCTGGGCGGAAGAGAACAGGCAGCTGGAACGTGGGCCTGGAGATGTGGGTTGAAAGCCCCCTCCATAAAGGGCAGGTTAGATCACTGAGACATGAGATCATGTTGACCAGGAAAGAGAACGGGCCTTACTGAAGGAGGGAAATGGTTCGTGTCAGTTTGTAGGAATAACTACCACAAAACTAGGACGCTGAAGAGTCTCATGTCGGTAAGAGGTGAGCCGAGACCATCACTGGAGCCGGCCACGCCACCCTGTTTGCCACCTTAATGAAACAGAAGCCTCCGGAAGGTGATGGAAACTGTCACTGGGGACAGTGCAACTCATGACCTCACTTGCTTCACCTCAGGGGGGAGGGCAGGGAGGTAGCTGGAAGTAGCTGTGCTATAGACAAAGGGTCGGTCAGACTTCTACACAGGAGAAGAGCGAAGCTGTGGGTAGAGGCACACTCAGAGCTGCTGCGTCTCCACAGTTCACTGCCTGGGGTAGTTGACAGCCAAAGACGTTGAGCTTTCATAAGCCTGTTGCCTCTGCTAAAAGGAAGGTGTGCTATAGGGAAACAATGGGGAGCTGGTGGTCTTGCTGGCTTTGTGGGTGGCTTTGGGTGAACAACCCAGTACATAGAAATTATTGACAAGGGTTCTGGAGTCCATCTGCTCAAGGTAAGGTCAGCTATGTGAGGAGAATGTTTGGAAACCCTGCACTAGCATTAAAAATATGTAAGATATTCTGATCTAATAACCAGACGCCTGGATATATGCCCAATAAACCTGAGCGGTAATGTCCACCAAAAGATGTGAGGAGCTTCAGAGCAACTTCATTTATGATTCAGTCCAAATTAGAGACAATCCAAACACCCACTAGTCGATTAATTCCATAATCGCATGGTGGAATATGGCAAAGCAGTGACTAAGAGTGAGCTGTGCTACGTGCAATAACACGCGGTTGCAGATGTCATGCTGACTGAGAGAAACCAGCCATAAAGCAGTGCACGTGCGTGACTCCATTTCTAGGGCGTTCATGAACAGGTAAAAGCCATCTGAGGGTAGAAGCCAGAATTGTCTTCAAGGCGGGAGGTTGACAGCATTCTGGGGCGCTAGAACTGCTGGTCTGGGTGGGGGTGCTGGTGTTCATGTGTGAAAAGGCTGTATTGTATGCTCAGGATTTGTGAAATTTACTGTATGCAAGTTACACCTAAAAGATTTTATTCACCAGTGAAAAGGTGGGATGTCTGTGATTCGCTTTAAAATTGTCCAAGGGAAGGGTAGAGATGTGAATCAGATGGGCCAGGCATTGGCAGCTGAGGAAGTCACAGGATGGGCACGTGGGAATTTATGACATTTTTTCAGTCTGCTTGTAGGGAAACTTTAAAAAGGTTTTTACAAAGTGGTACTCTCAAGGGTTTCATGATAGCATTTACTCACAGTTTCAATTGCCATTTCTATTGCCACATTGTCTTCTGAGTTTGGACACTTCAGGAAGTGTTTGAGTGCCTGAAATGAGAGTTGTATAGCAGTTAAAGATCTTCAAACCACCTTCATACTGGAAAAAAGTTTTCAAAATACAAAGTGATTACAATTTGTGGAAATATTTTAATCTCAATTAGGGGCTTGAATAGCACTGGTCCTTAAAATTATTTTTAAAAGTTGGGTATAGACGGCTCTCCCTGGTGGCGCAGGGGGCTAATGCGCAGCACTATCAGCTAGCCACAGCTGCTAAAGCTCCATTCGGCCAGGGAGCTGACCCACATGGCGCGGCGGGCCTTTCCTGACCCATCTGCTGCTCCCGTCAGCAGTGTACTTTGTCAGTCTGCCTGTTCTGCTCCCCACTGTCTCTGATGAATTCTCTTACCACCCCTTGCACCTCTGGCCTGTATCCCATCTCTGTATGCATAAATAAATCTTAAAAAACCACAAAAACCAAAAAACTGGGTATAGTTTAATAAAGGAGGATCCATTTAACGCTCTGAAGAATTTTAGTTCTAGTTCTGACTCTTGAGAAAAATTAAAAATGTGCCTTCATTCAGCAGGAAGATTTAATTCTTTTCACTCATTTATTCATTCAACAAACATTTACTGATGACCTGCTACTGTGTACAGGAGACTGCTACATGCCATGGAGAAAAGAAGAAGACTGATGTGACGTCTCTTTATTAGGTACAGTTATTGAGGAGACCTGTGATGTGATGAAATTAGGAATCAATGAAGTCATACCCGTCCAGTTTCTGAACACCACAGCATCACCCCTATGAAGAAATTCAAGGCTATAAAAGCTTAAAAGACAAATGAACAGGATAGCCTGTTGGTTTTCGAGGTACTTTAAAGGTTAAGATAAAACATGGCGATGATCCTCAGGGATCATCATCATGGGAAGAGGACTTGAAAGATGGACAGGTCAGTGGGAGTGGTGCAGGGAGCTGAGTGTCCCCCAGGTAAGCGACTTTAGGTGAAAGCAACAACCATTTGGGGAACAAAATGAAGATGAGTCGCAGGGAGAGAGTTTATTGCAAACAGGGAAAATGAAAACCATTACAAGAACCTAAATTGAGGTGACCCAGAGTTTGGATTAAATTGGGGGTTGCTGGAATGAGGAGGGACAGATGTGAGAAACCACTAAGGAAGAATGTGATTGGTAAACATTTTACAGTTGAATCTGGGAGAACAGAGCTTTTAGTATTTCACAGAATCATTCCTGCAGAGTCCAGTGGATATCTCCTAGACAAATACTAACCCGTGAATACTGGCCACACAGCAGGAAGAATTTTCCAGCCTGAAGATGTCTTTTTTCTCCTTCAAAATACAAGGCAATGCTTTGGTAGTCCTCAGTAGTAGTGTCTTCAGAACCTACAACAAAAGTGCAGAGTCAAATCTCTGAGCAAAACTCGTTTTCCTTTTATTGCTAACCTGAAAATAATGTCTAGAAACAGGTGATCCAATAATAGGTGAGTTAAAACGCTCAACGGCCAACGTGACTGGTACAGCAGCCTGGTTTCAGCACAGAACAATCCATCACCTTCACCCCACACATCAACTCGTCTCCCTCTTCTGTTAACACTAAATGGGAAGCCGGAGAGCTGATCACGAGGGATTGTAAGGGTCTAGGCTGCCCTTCCACGGGCCATTCTGCAGGTCTGCTCACCTAGAGCGGGAGCAGCTGTGACTGCCATCTCCTCCACGGTGGTGGTTTCCGCACCGGCAGAGACAGAGCCCAGCACAATGCCAATATAATCCACCCCCACTTTCTCAGCGCCTGATTTTAATGATAGTCTGTATGTACTTGTCACAAAAGTAAGGGAGGTAATATTTAAGTGGTGCTATTGAAAGCTAACATTTTTCTTTTTGAGGCTTAAATATATTAAAGCGCAGAGGAAAGAGGGTCTCAGAGCTGCTGGCCTTACAATTTACTGTTGGTATTTACTTGTGGGAGCCGGAGACCCAGGAAGGAAACCAATATAATAACAGTCCTCTGCTGGGGCCTTCCTGGTGGCAGAGGGATTAAGTCTTGGCACTTGATCAAGCTATTGGCAGCCATTGCAGCCCAAGTTCAATCCCAAGCCAGGGAGGTGACCCGCATGGCACAGCAGACTTCTCCTGTCTCACCCTTTTCTGTCCTCAGTAGTGTAGTTCAGCCAAATGCCTGTTCTGCTTCCCTCTGTCTCTGGTGAATCCTCTCACCCTCCCGCACCTCTGGTCTGCACCCCAGCTCTTGTATGCATAAATAAAAATAAACCTTAAAAAAAAAAAATAAGACCTGCACTGCCCAAAGCAGAGGTGACAAACAGGTGGAGGCAAGCGTGAGTGCTAACTGAGGACAAGCCTTCTCTTTAATGAACCCAGAACAACTTAAAGGCTTGAGGATAATGGTGATTTGTAATGTTGAGATGATGTCACCTGTCAAGATAAACCTTGGAATTCTAATGTGGTTTTGAGCTATACTTTTTTCTTTTGATTTTTCTTCAATTATCTAAATGACTTCCTATTAGAAGATGCATTCACCTATTTCTTTGCAGACTGAAAAAAGTACCGTCATGAATTCCATCATCAATTCTTATGTTTTTTTTTTTAAAAAAAAATATGCATGTATGCAAAAACTGGGGTACAGGCCAGAGGTGCAGGGGCAGTGAGAGGATTCACCAGAGTCAGAATGGGGAGCAGAACAGGCAGACTGACCCAACTACACTGCTGAGGGGAGCAGCAGGTAGGCCAGGAGAGGTCTGCCATGCTATGTGGGTCACCTCTGGGGCTGGGGATCGAACTTGTGCTACAGTGGCTGTAGATAGCTTCATCTTGCTGTGTCTTAACCCACTGCACTACCAAGGAGGTCCTCTTATGGTTATTTTGCAGAAAAGAAAAAAAATAATTCTATTTGAGGTACCATGAATAGCCAAATTCATAGAGAAAGCAGAAGCATGGTTATCTGGGACTCAAGGAATTCTTATTTAAGGGGGACAGAGTTTTCGTGTAGGACAAGGACCAAGTTCTGGAGATGGGGAGAGGTGAAGACCACACGACCACAGTATATCTAATACAACCACACTGTACACTTCAACACGGTTAAATGGCAATTGAGTATTATTTATATTTAACCATAATTTAAAAAACAGCACCACAGTGTTACGTATGACCCATAAAAGAAAAATAATTATATATTCTTAATCTGCAACTGAATTTTTAAGATTTATGAAAATATTTGCTTTTGAAAAAATCATTTTACATTCCTATCACCTACATTTTGGAAGCTGATTTCCCCACTGGATGAATCATAGCAGGATTCAGGAGAAATCTGGTCTCTTGGAAAATACCCCTCCCCCCAGCCCCTAATTTTTGAAAATGGTCTTTCTGTAATTCCATCTCACCTTTGAGCTGACAGTAGGCTCTTTAAAATATAACAAGAAAGGCCCTCCCTGGTGGCGCAGTGGGTTAAAGCACGGCACTGAGAAGCTAAAGCCACTTCTGCATGAGTTCGATCCCCGCCTGCCCCGGAGGCGAGGCGTGGCAGACCTCTCCTGACCCGCCCGCTGCTCCCCTCAGCAGTGTACTTCGTCCATCTGCCTGTTCTGCTCCCCACTCTGTCTCTGGTGAATCCGCTCACCACCCTGAGCCTCTGAGCTGCACCCATCCCAGTTCTGTATGCATAAATAAATCTTTAAAAAATAAAAAACAAGAAACATACAGATGTGTGTGTGTCTAAATGACATACGTGCATGTGCTTGTGGTCCGACAGCTGCTACAGGTCCTAACCGTGTCGCGAGGACAGAAGTCCATGAGGGAGATTAGGGAAACAATGCTAATTACCAATAATGTCCGCATAGATCTCCATCTTGTTGTGCTGCTGAGCCAGGGTAAAAGCTTCATTATTACATTTGGACATAACCAGAAACTGGATGGCAGACCCGTAGTCACCCAACTGTAGGAAAAACCTGAGACAAAGCACTTTAATTAGCTTGATTTTCATGTAAATGTGTGATTTATACAATAAAATTGTTTTCAATCATAAGAAGATACTTAAATTTCAGGTAAACTGCAGTTCTACAGACTGCTTCTGTGTGAAAAACACTCAGCCATTGACCACAACAGACTGAATTTAAACACTTTGAACTAGATGTATATATGTGTATATATGTATGTGCATATTTGATAAGGGGAGGCGGGGCTTTCTTGTATACCTAGTTTTTGGAAGTCCAAAACACCAATGTGCATGTTACCTGGCTACCATTTTGGCTCCCTCCAGGGACTGGGTCTCTCTCACAATACTGACGGCCTTCTCTGGATTATTGAGGTGATCCAGGTAGATGCGGATCACGCTGTTCCATTGTTTGGCATTTTCGTAAGCCACAATAGCTTCTTTGTACCTGTGAGAAATACTTAGTTCAGGGCCTCCCTGGTGGAGTAAGGGGGGTGAAGGCTCAGCACTATGACATTATCAGCAGCCACTCCACTCCGCAACTCAGGCCTACACCCCAGTTCTTATGGCATAAATCAATCATTAAAAAAAAGACTTAGTTCAGACAAGCTTTCTAAACACTGGCATGTTTGGGGAGGAGAGAGCAATGCCAGTAAACGTCTGGGCACCTTTTTACTGATAGTGCTGGTTTATTCTCTTTTCTTTTAAATATATATTTATTTTTCTTAAGTTGAGGTGCCACTGGTTTATAATACTGTACATGAATTTAGGGGACTAAAATCACATTTATTTTTCTTGAACTTCATATTCCTTCATTAGAAAAAGACCAGGAACCATCTCGCTAAAATACGTTCATTTTAGGGGTTTAATAAGCTAACAGCAAAACAGCAATATTGAATTGTGTCATCTGAACCATAGCTATGTAATTTTTTACATTTAATGTTTTTATTTCTTTTTGAGTGGGAAGCTTATTAATAGTAATGTAGGCTAATTTGAAAAAACAGATTTCACATGTTTAGTTTACAAGTAACATGAAATGTTTGCCTCTTGACCTCCAGATGGAGCTCAAGACTTCAATTCCCTCCAGCTTTCCAGCTCTTTCCATTTCAACACCACCTTTAGTGTCTTTTTCTCAGGTTAGGTTCTGAAGGGAGTGGGTAAGTCTCTGAGTACATCTATCAGATAACCTTGCAGAAGCTACAGGCATTTTTGCTCCCATCAGTCATGTGTGATGAGAGCATTTTGACAGGCTGGTTATTAGTTGAAAACAAATTTCTCCCTATATGAGAAGTTAAAATGATAGACTGTTACTTCAATTACAGTTAGTGAAGCAGAGCTGTTTCACACTTGCATGAAATACAACTCCTGTGTTTTCTGGGACTCTTTCTGGGCTTTAGTCATCTCCTCCTAGCATCCTTGAGTTTCTTACATTAAGTTGCAGAGAAGAACTTCATATAGTAAGGATATGCCCTACCCACGGCTACTGCAGCTGGGTGGGCTTCTTTACTTTCCCCTTGCATCCTTAAGTTATCCTCTATACTAAAATGACTACCGTTCCATCTTCATGCCATATTATGAAAACTTCAGCTTCTGGGCCCTCCCTGGTGGCGCAGTGGGTTAAAGGAAGGCACTGAGAGATGAAGGCCACTTCCGCATGAGTTCGATCCCAGCCGGCCCCACAGGTGACCCACATGGTGCGGCAGACCTCTCCTGACCCGCCCGCTGCTCCCCTCACCAATGTGCTTTGTCAATCTGCCTGTTCTGCTCCCCACTCTGTCTCTGGTAAAGCCTCTCACGGCCCCTGCACCACTGGCCTGTACCCCAGTTCTGCATGCATAAATAAATAAATCTTTAAAAAACAACAACAGGACTCCCCCTGGTGGCACAATGGGTTAAAGCACTGCATTATGAAGCTCTCTAAAGCTACTGCAGCACGAGTTCCACCCCCAGCCAGGGAACTGACCCACATGGCGCGGCAGACCTCTCCTGACCCGCCCGCTGCTCCCCTCAGCAGTGTACTTCGTCGATCTGCCTGTTCTGCTTCCCATTCTGTCTCTGGTCAACCCTCTCACCCACCACTCCTCTGTCTTGTACCCCAGTGGGCTGCAGATGCCAGAGGCTCATTTCTCCAGGTTACAGTACATTAGATTGGTAGAAATTCGAGTAATTGCACAGACCTCCCGTCCGCCTCTTTAGCTTTGGCATACTGCAGGTGAATCTTTGGAGAAGAGACATGCGGCAGGAGCTCGCCAACTTTTGCCCTAGAAAAGCAGGTGCAGAAGGACAGTGTCAGCGACGTGTTCACTTGGAGAGCAGCTTCTTCATTTCTAGGCTTCTGAACTCAGCCTATAGGATCTTTCCAATTGACTGGCTTTTCCTGACAGACTACAGGGGAGGACAGTGGGTGCTCTGGTGGTGAGAAAGCTATGGTGACCGCACCACCGGGGAGAAATCCCATACGGTGAAAAACAAGCAAGAATGAGAAATAGTGGTATGCGGATTAATTAAAAAATACATATCTTGGCAGATTTAGTAGCCTTTCTTGGCCCTGCGCATCCCCACATCTGCTCAGAAACAAATTTTAGTCGATTCTCACCAGTTCTTACAGCGGATGTAAACAGACGCTGCCTTGTCATAGTAGAGGCCTTTTTCATAGAGTTGGGCTGCTTCTGAAAATTGCTGAAATAGTATGAGATTATTAAAGCACAGCTTTAGTAAGCCCAGGATCACACACACACTGACACTGGCCGAGGATACCTTCATGCTCTCCAGGATGGCGCCACAGTCCCTCTTGAGGACCCTGCTGGGGTGCTTGAGGGCCTGGCTGACCCCTCGGCGGATGTCTCCCATCCGTATGGACATCTGGGCCAGTCCAGCCAGACACACTTCATCGTGCTCCTGCAATCAGAGGACAGACAGCTGCCAAATCTGACTCTCACCTCACATGACAGGTTTCGGCCAAGCAGTCTGAGTCTAAAATGACATACAGGTCGGTGTTTCTGACGGTGGAGAAAATGGCCATATTTATATATAACAACTGTAGGTGTGCCACTTTGGAGAGCAACTTAGCAATATGGAGAACTACGAGTGCACATACGTATAACCTGGAAATCTGTAACAAGAGACCCTCCAGCAAGGCTCTCGTGTTAAGACACATGTAGTTAGAATATTCATTGCAGCACTTTTGACAGTAAAAGCCAAAATCCAGTTAATTCAAAAAGGGAGTGAGCACAAAACCAAACAACTATTACATCCAAGCAATGAACAGTGGAAGCTCTTCAAAGATTAAAACAGATTCCTTTGTACTGACTTGGAAAGATCATGAATAAAGCCCCCCCCCCCAATCACTGCTTGGGAAAATGGGTTCTCAGTCGATTGTTGTTGAATGATGGAAATGAATGATTTCATTTTTAGTAAAACCCCCTCCAATATGCACATATCACAGACAAGCTTCTGGATGGAGAGATCAGATCACGAGGAGCCGCAACTACAGGTGTGGAGGGAGCAGGGATCATGCGCTCATTTTTCATGCCTCACACTGTGGCAAATTTTTAAATTGACTACAATGAAATTGCATTATTTTTGTAATAAAAACTGCTAGAGGCAAAACTGGAAGGTGCTCAATGTTTACAAACCAACTGTCTCACTTAAAAACATCAGTTTTCATCACAAATTTAGCTTCTTGAGCATGGGAACGGGGCTGGAATAGCAGGTAAGTGCCAGCCCTGCAGGGATGTACGTGGAGTGGCGGGAGGAACTGCTGGGGACTGGGGTCATTGTCAAAGTGGCCAGTGAACCTCTTAGCAGAGTTAAGAGGGAAGAAGCCTTATGGAATCACAGCCTCTAAGTGAGGAGGGATAAAAACCTTAAGCCCAAACTTAAGTTCACTTTTTGGATGCGACGGGAAATAACTTTTCGGATGCATAAAAACGTTGCCATCTTTAGTTTTTTTTTGAGTTTTAGGGATTTTAAGTTGACTTAACTGTATCTTTGCAAGGCTGTTATGAACTGATGAAAGTCACCTGGCAAACTACTGAGCAAATACAATGTAATAAAAGCATAATTTTTTAAATCAAACTAACAGCACACCCAAAGATTACTGTATGTATCTTTACCCAAGGTTACCTTATTATCACCTGTAATTCCTTTCTCATAATGAGCCAAAGCATTTACATAATCACCCCTGGAAAAAAAAAAGAGCAAGTTTTAATACATATTTAAGTACCTTATTTACATACACAAGGCTTAAAGGATAATTTACTTCAGTTGCTGCAGCTCACGAAGATGTAATACATAAAATGTATGCATGAATGCTCTCAAGTGCAGTCCACTGTATTCTACTTTTAAAATAATCCAGTCTAGCTGCATTATGCTAGCCAGTAAGTATTTATTTTATGGCCGGATGGGAATTTTGAGGAATTACAGAAAATTTTTTTGGACCACTTTTAGTTCATTATCTCCTCGGAGCACTAACTGGCCTTGACCTGGCCACGCACACCAACACGGTTCCCGGTATTTCCAATATTCCAGGAAGGTTCAATATTTACACGTGCACTACGCGCTGAAAGCACCTGACGGGCATGAGGACACGCGGGATGAGCATCGAGGGCGCTGGCCCTTACTCCAGTAAAACCTTTTAACAATATAAACAAGACTCGTTGCTGTGACTGACGCTAGCATGGCTGCTTGCGCAGAAGGCACATTCCTACCTCAGGTGGTGGGTACAGGCTGGATCAGTGATTTTCCTAAAATCCTTTGGGAGCGCTATCTTCCTGTGATAAACCATTCCCCCAGAATAAGTTAACCAGCTCTGGAAGTTGCACTGAGATCTACTCGAACGTCACCATGTCGGCTAAGTGAGTCGTGCAAACTTTCTAGGCCTCACTCAGTTCTCTCATCTGCTGGAGTACAAGGAATTTTCTGAAGGGAAACTCCTATGCTTTGGGACACCCTGTGGTCTCACAGTCAGCAGTTCCCAGGTGAAAATCTGACATTTGAGTCAAATGACAACCAGCTGGCGCTGCCGCCTGACAGAGGGGGTAGCCAGGCCCTCGGGAGCCTGAGGCTTAGCAGGCGCTTCTTTAGGATACGTAGGATCTTAGAAGTCTTTTATTCTAGCTCACATACTTACTTCATTTGGCAACTCTCACAGAGATCTAGTTGTCTAATCCCAGACTCAACAGCAAGATCCCCTTCTGCTCTCAATCCAGGCCTGGGGTGCTTAAGAAACGGAACTGAGGAGCGGCCTCCAGTTGTAGGTGTGAGAGCAGCAGCTGATAGCCAGGGGGAGCCAGGGGAGCCGCTGGTGATGCCGCGGTTTCCAGCAGCCTGGTCACTGGGCCCCAGGCAAACTCCCCTGACCAGCGGCGCTGGCGTGAGCCTGTACCTGCTGCCAGCAGCAGTGAAGGGTGGAGAACCGGCAGGTTTGTGGATATGTGATGAACAGGAAGGGTTAAAAATGATCAACAAAAGCAGAGGCTTTCAGTGATCTAGGCTCTGCTGACTATGAGCCCAAGTGTTTGTTAAGCGTTTGCTATGAAAGTTTCCACCCCCCTCAGAGAAGAACAAATGGAAATGATCTGCAGGCCTGAGGGTTTCCTAGAATTGTGCCCTGACAAGAGCAGTGGGTGTCTTCCAGCGTGGTGACACAAGTTCCTTGTCTAAAATCCATCACCCTCAGGAGTGTAGGGCCGGGCACTGGGCCTTGTCCCTGGTGCAACATGTTTAGATTCTGCAACACCACCAGAGCAAACCCCTAGGTACAGGGAAATGCCAGTTGCTCTTTCCAACATCTGGATTTCCTTTGCAAAGGGAAGAAACGTGACAAGCCTAAATCCCTTAAATGTAAGATGACATGAAATTTAAAAGAAAGGTTTTATTTGGAAGTGGGAAACTTAAATAAGGTATTCTGGTTAGAAATGAACAAGTACTTTTTAATAGAATAATTTCTAGAACTAGTTTGTGTGTCAGTATTCTCAGTGAATCCAAAACCTGAAAATAAAGTGCAACTATATAAAAATAGGAATAATCACTCTGAAATACATCTAAAACAGTGTTTATGTGAAAATATGAAACAATAAAGGATGGTCTCAAATCAAAAAAAAAAAAAGAATGAATAATCAAATATAAGAACCATTCCTTTGGTTCAAAGGTCAATATTTTCTCACATTTCAATTTTTGAAATTGGAATCTTAATGTGAAAAGACTATTTGTAATGTAATTGTCATTATACACAAATGTGTGAATTTATATTTGAAAAATTCATTTATTGTTTGCATTGGTAGCATAACAATGGCTAAGTGCAAATTTAAATCTAACACCTCTAATATTATAGGACTTGAATGCCTCTAATATTGAATACCTCTAATATCACACTTTTTCTCTCCCACACTACAACAAACCTGGAGTCTGGCAACAAATACTATTGATAACTAAGAATGACCCACAACTCAGAACACTACAAAGTTCTCTCTCAGGGATAGGAAAATTTGTGAGCCTATTTGAGCAGCATGAAGGATTACAATCAAGGACTAAACTTCTGTCTGTGAAAAGCTTCTGGTGTGATTTTCAACACACCTAATTTTTAATCTATATGCAATTTAATTTTAAAAAGAAAAATTACAATTTTAAGCAAACAGAAAATATAGACCAAAATCTGGTACTTTTTCACTGTGCTTAGGACACAGATATCCTCAATGAATTCAGAGAAGTGATGATAAGTATCGGTTATGCAAAGCAGTCTGTCACCCTCCGGCATTGTAGTTCTGGCAGGCCAAGTGGGGCCCAACACAGTGTTTTGAACTCTAAAGTCAGCAAAGGCATGGACCCGAACTCAGATTTTGTTGCTGAACATGGAAATGAATAAATGCATGGATAAAATGCCATGATTTATAAAAGATACTTTTTTGGGGTAAGCAATTAATATAACTTCCCCCCCTCAAAAAGTAATTATTAAATCAATGGTGGGCAGTATCAAAAGTGCCTTTTTAGAATTGCAAATATACAGTAATTTGCTACTGATCGAAACACACAGCAAAGGAGGACTTACATGAATTCAAGCTGAATAGCATATTCTTTTGATATAAATGGTATCTGGTCTGGAGCTAAACGCTTTGCCAGCTGTAGGGCGCTGTCCCAATGCAGTAAATCCCTCCTCATCTGTTAGGGAGAGAGAAAGCTTCATTTCAAATAAGCAAATTACTTTACACAGTCTGCATCATGCTAGTTTTAAAAGAAGTGAATACAAATACCTTGTTTAAATAATAAAACTTGATCTTTGCAAGGACAATGCATTACGATAGCAGACATTCTCAGTGGGCTGACAGAGCCTTCAAGGGGTGAAAAATGGTTCTTGGGGAGCTAACAGACCAAGTTATTAACATTGGGGTGCGTCTTCCAAAGCTGAATTTGAACAAACAAGGTTTTATCCTTTGGTATTTAATTTTGTCCAATAGGGAAAAAATAAACAATCACAATTAATTCAAGCAATTGACGAAAAACATTAAGTTTTCTTCTTCTTATGGGAATTGATGCTTCCGTCTGAGAAAACTTGAGTCTATCACAACATGAATAATAGCAAGCCAGTAAAACACGTCTTTCTTCCTGGCTCTTATGGTCTTGCCCAAGATGACAGGGCTGGGATTTGAACCCAGGGACTCGAGAGCCCATGATCTAATGTCCTATTCCCTAGGGTTCTGATCCCTGTTCTCGGAGGCATTTCACCCTGTGGTTGTCCTTCCCTGAACCGTCTGCCTTGGGACCTAGTGAAGGACGGGAGTGCCTTTAGTCCACCTTGGCATACCCCAGGGAGTCTCCTACAAGTAAAAGACAGAGGTGACTCGGTATCCTCATCTGGAGAACAGAAACATTACTACCACCATTCCAGAGGATTGTTGTGGGGGCAAAGCAAGCTCAAATGAGCCGAGGGCTTAGAAAGGTGCCTGGTCCTGGGCACACTCGGCCTGGTGACTGATTTACTTGTATGCGTTTCCATAAACTGTATAATCTGTTACATTTGGACACATTTAGACTTCAAAATAGCTGGTAAAATTATAAAACCATGCCTTTCTGTGACTCCTTGGGAACCTAGTTTCATTCTCTAACAGAATGGAAATGTTTGTGAAGAAAATGAGTCCTCAGAGGTTCTGAAGGCTAAATAAAGTGTCTAATGCCTTGGGGCCCTCTCTGGTGGCTCAATGGGTTAGGACGCAGCACAGCAAGCTGGCCGCAGCTGCTTCAGTGAGAGTTCCATCCCCACCCTGGAGGTGATCTGGGTGCACAGCAGACTTCTGTCTTACCCGCTGCTCCCCTCAGCAGTGTACTTCATCAGTTGGCCTATTCTGCTCCCCACTCTATCTTACCACCCCCGCACCTCTGGCCTGTACCCCAGTTTTGTATGCACAAATAAATAAATCTTTAAAAGAAAAAAAGTGTATAATGCCAGGAGTAGGGAAGGTCTGTGGTATCCCGGGCTGTGAGATTTCAACTCCTGACAGGGTGACCCTCGTGCAGCCCTCTCCTGTCCCCTTCTCCCTCCCAGCTGGCAGCCGTACCTCTAGGGCAGCCACGGGGCAGCTGGATGCAAGGTAGAGTTCCTGAGCTAGGTTGAAGTCGTTAGTAAACATGGCGAGGTGTCCGGCCAGGAGATTGTAGTCCTCTATGCCCTGCCGAGCAGAAAGGCAGTTTTAGTGAGAAGAAATACAGGAGTTTAATTTTTTCAAAATCTCTTCTCAGGAGGAAGCAGTGACATGCTAACAATTCACTTCTTGATAAGGTAGTTAGGATGAGCTGCAGACATATTTATGTGCTTGCTGTTTACCTTGATCTGTTCCAAGGACATCACCATGCCAACATTTCCAACTGCCCGGTAAACGCGGATGGCAAACTCCACTTCCATGTGGTGGAGACACGCTCTCCCCAGCTCATTCCAGGCAGCGTGATCGTCCAGAATCTTGCACATTTCCCAAGCGTCAGGAAACCTAGAGTGTCAGTACATAGGCGTATGAGGGTGCTCTACTTGGCCCCTGTTAAGGCAGGTTTCTGGTACTGTAGAATTTAAGGCGATGTGCGCCCTCGACAAACCTTGCGAAACATTTCTCAGTCCGTCAGACTTAGTTGCAAGTAGTGAGAAACTTTATTAAGTGCTCCTTTTTCATACCGAGGTTTTTCATTGAATTTCTTTTACGAATCAACATCTACTTGGTGTGGCACCCCTCAGGGCCACGACTCATTCTATCCCTTTCTCTTTTGTTTGACTCACACATAGATAAATTACTTTTGTTCTCATTTATGGAGGCAAGGAACAGTCGTCCACTCCTGTCACAAGCTGACGCTGGGGTCCACACCGAGTGCAGGCAGCTGCTGGCTCTACCCAGAGTGTTCGTGGCCCGCGGCCGGCTCGACCTTTCTTTTAAGGGTGACTTGCGGCAGCTCCTGCACCACAACAGCCTTCAGAGAGGTAACAGCAGAAGCCCTCGGCCCTTGCAGCTGACATGCTTATATCTGACATGAGCACAGAGAGTTTGCTGCGGTTCTGCTCTAAAACATCCTGTGGAGGGCCCTCCCCGGTGGCGCAAGGGGTTTAAGCACAGCACTATGACACTAGGAGCAGCCACTTCACAAGTTTGATCCCCACCCCGGAGGTGAGCACATGGCCCGGCAGACCTCTCCACACCCACCCGCTGCTCCCCTCAGCAGTGTACTTGGTTGATCTGCCTGTTCTGCTCCCCACTCTGTCTCTGGTGAATCTTTTCACCACCCCTGCACCTCTGGCCTGTACCCCAGCTCTGTATGCATAAATAAAGAAATCTTTAAAAAAACAAAAACAAAAAACCATCCTGTGGAGCTAGTATGTGACCATCTCACTGTGTCCCATCCACCGGCACACCTGTCAGGAGCAGCATTTGCTGGGTTACATGGCAGGGGCAGCACATGGGACCACAATACAGGGCTCAGACACGGTCCCTGTCTTGTAGGGTCCTTACTGGGAACACAGAAGAGACAGATAAATCAGCTGATGTCTGGAACACAGTTGGGTAGAGATTACTGAGTGGTTAAAAGTCTGATGACCATTGCATTGAATGCTCGGCTTCAATTCTCTCGCTGGATTAACCTCCTCTACAGAGTAGGAAAGTGAGGTAGGGCGGCCTTGAGAGACTAGCCCGAGCCACACTGTGGGAGTGCTTTACACTGGTGTGTCCTGGCCCTGAGGCATCCATTAGAAAGGTCTCCGATCCACACACAGTAGTGGGGTAAGATGGCATCATGGAAGGCTTCCTGAAGAGAGGTTTGCTGAATGGTGAAGAATGAGGAGTTACCTCATACAGAGATAGGGGACAGGCATTCTGGGAGGCGAAGACAGTACGCACTGAAGCAGACTCATGAAAAATATCTAAGTCAAGTAGCAATTGGAAACAGGACTCGGGGTGGGGACAGCTGAGGCTCATATCAATCATCAGGTTCGAGCATGTCATACCTAGGTCCCGCAGATGAGGGATTTCTCCCTCAAGGCAACAGGAAGTCACTGAACGGCCTTTCTCAGGGAAACAGAAGACTCAGACTCACAGTTTTGAAAGTGTGTAGATAGTAAAGTAAGACTGTGGGTGGGGGTGGGGCACGGGCACCTGTGACTGGAGCTGAGAGAGCTTGGAGACATCACGTGCATATATATGGTGGGTAGGCAGTTGTAGGTGGAAGGCAGATTTGGGAGCCAGCCTCACGCATGCTGCTGCAGCCGTGTAAATTGAGGACATTCACCCCAGTCCCGTGAGGAGAAGGGCACTCAAGGGACCTGCAGGCTTTACGAGACAGTCAGAAGAACCTGACCCACAAGGAAGTCACAGCCCTAAGAAGAGCAGAAAAGGAGAAGAGGAAGCTCAAGCCAGCAGAGCCAAACTTCACTGGGATGAAACTGAGATAGGGTCAAACGTATGTGATCTATTAGACTTTAATAGTGGCGATATTTTGGGATATTAGAAACCCTTTTCTTCGGGAGGGCTTTTCTTGGAATAAAAGCACCATTGGGACGATAGTGCCTCCCACAGAATTTACAGCCTCATAGGCATTATCTGGCCTGGTCCCCCCCAATAATCCTATGAAGTAAACAGAGGAATTGCTTTCCTTTGTTTTAATAGGATTCAACTTTAAAATCACGGAAGCAGATTAAGGGCTCTAAGCGATGTGTCTCAAACCCACCTTTTTAGCATTAAAATTTGTGTCAGCATTTGTTTCAGCTCATCAGGCCCCGCATCTTTTAAAACATCTTTTAAGTTGTCGAGGAAGCTGTGGGTGCTCAGGTAGAAGGTGTTTATTCTTCCACTCTGAGTCTGGCAGTTCAGCTCTCCATTATATAACAGCAAAGGCTTATGACAGAAGGGGACTTTGGTGCTACCAGCCAAGATGACCTTGGATCCTGTATTAGAAAACAGACACCATAATGTTGACAGCTAATTCTCAGCACGACCATCAGGCAGAAATGTTTTCATTCCATTGCAAAGGAAATTCATTCATCAACAAATGTACAACTAATTACCTTGGATGGTGTCCTTGTGAAAGACATAAGTATATACCTTGTCGTCATCATAAGCAATAAATACACCTTTATCCATTGGCCAGTTTTCCCAAAGAACACCTTTAATGGTTGGTGAAAAATCTGGAATCTCAAAGGTAGCATCATTAACCTACAAAAAAGGAATTACAGATTGGCTCCAAGGTGATACTTCACCCATCACCACTGCCTTGGGGGAGTCTGCAGCGCCTGGAGCTGGCATCATGAGGTGGCCCCCACTTGCTCAGCCGGCAGCACCCCAACCCCAGCAGGAACAAGGTCTCTCTTCCCATCCCAACACTAGATCTAGCTTGAAAACAACTGTGGTTTAGATGGCAAATCAAGGACTTAACTTAAAGTTGAGCAAACGTGCAGGAAGAGTTATATGTCTGGACACAAACTTTTAGGTTAAGAAAAAAAGGCTGAAGCTGTTCGAGACAGCAGCAAAGTAAGCTATGAATACACACGGCTAGAAAACTTTAAATGCTGCAACCATAGAAGAAACAAATGCATCTGAAAGAATTTGAAATTTAATTATTTTTTGTCTTATTTCAAAACTCTATTATTCATTCTAGTGAACATAAAGTGACTGTTGGAACAAGCTATGAGGAAACCCACCCATGTCACTCTTGTGACCCAGGGAGCTGGCTTATTTATCGTGCATATGGAGCTCAGAAATACCTACTTCCTCCTTATTCTATCTTTCTCTCAAAACAAAAATAAAAATTACAATTCTTGCAAATAATGACGACTAATACTGTATAGAACTGGGCTGTCCAAAGGTAGCCACTATTATAATAGTGTCTAGTCCAAGCTGAGATGTGAATAAGTCACATAACAGATCTCAAAGTGTCAGTATGGGGAAAAAAGCTCACTAATTTTTTAATATTGCCAACTTATTTTTTTATATATAATATACTAGTTTATTTTTACATCATTTTGTACCTTTTTTTTCCATCTCAGTTGTAATCCCCGTGGGTTTCACATCACTGAGTCACCCGTGTGCCATCACAATAATCCCATGCACTTCTCCCCCATCTCCCCCCCTCCGTTTTTGATCCCATTCCCCACTCCACCCCCACAAAATGTCTCTGGTATATGGCTGTTCATTATTCTTATTATTTTCCCGCCTGGTCCATTATACTCCTGCTATGAAAGCTCATTAATTTTTATACTGAATAGAATATTTGATTAAATATATTGATTAAAAGTATTTAATTTTTACCTGCTTATTTTACTGTTCTAAAATATGGCTAACAGGAAACTTAAAGTCATGGACATGGTTCAAAAAAAATTTTTTTAATAATTATATTTCTATTAGACATAGCTGTTAACCAGGTATTACATGAATAAGATAGCTAGATATATATAACCTCATTTAATTCTAAGTCTACAGGACAGGCACTATTTTTTTTTAAAAGATTTATATTTATGCACACAAGAACAGGGGTGTAGGCCAGCAGTACAGGGGGTGAGAGGATTCCCCAGAGACAGAGTGGGAGCAGAGCAGGGAGACTGACTGAAATACACTGCCGAGGGGAGCAGCGGGTGAGACAGGAGGGGTCGGCTGTGCCATGTGGGTCAGCTCCCTGGCTGGGGATCAAACTCATGCTGCAGTGGCAGCAACAGCTGAGAGACTTAACCCCTGTGCCACCAGGGAGGCCCAGACAGATACCATTATTATGTCCATTTTGCATATGAAGAAAAAATTTGCCCAGAACCAACTATGTAGGACATATGATTAAAGGTGGTAAAAGGTGGTGAGAATCACTACTGTTTTCATTGAAAACCCTCTATGGTACTGACACAATGAAAAAGTGCAGAATAACAAAGTTTTCTTGACGTACATAGCCATGAAAATGGATCACAGATGTAATAATAAAGTATTATAACCCTGGTACTATTTAGGAGAAAACTTTTATATGTGAGTTTTATTCAAAAGCACCTTAACATACGGCATTAAAAAAAACAACAGCATTAAAGTTTTTCTAAGAATGGAGAGCCAGAAGGTGACCTGAGGGAGCCACGTGAAGCAGAGAAGCAGGTGAAGAAGCTGCTCTTGTTTCTTAGCTCTGGACTGGTTGAAACGGATGTGGGTGAGAGACCCGTGGGGAGGTGACTATGGCAGTGTCTGTATTGACTTTGATTTTGCTCTTTTCCTCCCAGACTTGTCTGGCCATTGCTGACCCAGGTCCCTACCGGAAGGTGCTGAAGACTTGAAAGGGGGCTTTTGGGACTTGCTTTGGGCCAATCCCTTTTGGGTGGACTTTTACCCACAAGTAGACGGGTAACTTTGGGTGTCTGATTTAGAAACTATATTCTTTATCTTTTCTGCACTGCACACTAAATGTAGTAAAGTTCCTTTCCATTAAAGGTCTTATGTTTTGTCTTGATGGCGGCAGATGACAGAACCTTTTTGGAACAGGCGGGTTTAGATGTTCAAGACTGCCCCTCCCTGCTCTGGAACACCAGCACTTTTATCTTGTCAAATTTTCAAATCTATTTTTCTTCTAGTTACATTCATGGCAAATATGAAAAAGTAACCTTTCATTATTTATTGAAATATGCAAAGAAATTAACATTTAAAAACAAGAACATAAGGACATTATGATATGAATGCTAATTCAACAAAAAAGAATTTATGTCTACCAATAAAAGATTCGTTATTTAATTTGAAAAAAAAACAACAACAAAGTTTTTCTAAACTTACTGGACAGTAGACAAATCCATCACTTTTTTCATCAATGAAAACTAATCTAGTCCCATTAGGGTCAGGAAAAATCTTTTTCACACCAACAGGATGTCGATAATCATTAACAAATTGCCAGTCTTCAATGTAGAAGTACTGAATAATACCAGTCTAAAAAAAGGGCCAAAGAGACAGGTTGTCAATAAATACTTATTTTTAGCATTATAGTAAACATACTGCCTAATTTGAAGAGAGAAATATGTTGTCTTTGACTTTCTCCCAAATTTACTGAATTCTCTCAGAATAAACAAGGTAACAGGTAGACTATGCTTTGAAAAATCCTTGAAAACTTTTTACAAGTAAAAGATGCTATTACTCTATTGATATTTTTGATCATGTGGTTAATATAATAGTCAGAGGTGTTTGTTAGTGAATGTTCCTTCAAAAGACCAAGAGATTAAAGCAGGATTCTCGATAGTCAATTCATTTTAATATTTGTTAATTGCCTACTAAATATAGACACTACAGATCTAAAATTGAGTGAGGTGTCTTTGTTATCATAGTAAATTTTTTTTAAAGATT